TTGTCGGCGCACGACCACCAGAAAGTATACCGTTAGTAATGGCGTCTTGATCAGGTATCGCGGGTAAATTGGATATCTGTTTTTTACCGCGTCCATTCACATCTGTTCCTCCCAAATAGAAATTTCTGTTAGCTGTTGGCGTTGTTGAACCAGTCGGTGAAAACACAGTGGTACTTCTAGATGATGACTGTGATTGACCATTTTTTGATGTGATTGACGTTGGCCTTTGGCTATTGTAATTCGGTATCGGTAAGGGTAAATTATCTTCACGTCGTCGTAAATTTGTCAAATCGAGCACGCAATTCCAACGCGATTCGATACTCCTGCTTTTCACACCATTAAGAATGGGTGATCCCCTCGCGACGATTGAAACATGTCGCTGACGTTCTTCTGTAGGCGCAACGCCAAAAGAATTTGACGAAAACACGGAGGAAACAGATGTACGACGAGAAGATGGTCGGGAATTAGGAGGTGGCGCAGGAAAATGTTGTGGGGATAACTTTGGAAATGACGGATCATCTAAAATTGTTATGCTATATAAAAATGTTACTTGATCAACTGGATTAAGCGTTAAGGGGAATTTTTCCTGATGATCAAAAAAAAAAAAAGATAATAATTCATTTAATATCAACGTTGCGATAAATTAAAAATTAAATGTTTACACATTTGACTATAAATACCACTTGTTTGTCCGCTTTTTCCCATTCAAATCTTGTAACAAAACCATGTGCAATCTCCACTTTAACTGCTTCAACGGAGAATGAACTACCAGCATCGGTATTATTCTCTAATTCGACAGACATCATTAACACATGGTCCAAGGGCGAGACACTAGTCGTACGCATGCGTACGTTAAGCGCTGATTTTACTGACAATATCTTACGGTATCTACGTACCAATGGTTGTGGAAGGCTTTGTACGGTTGATGGTTGGGATGGCCTTCTTTGTTCAACATTAAAAATGCGTGATGTTGGAAGCATGAGATCTGTTGTAGAAGATTCAAATAATGGATCTTTTGTTTTTGGTAATTGTATGACATAGGAGCCATTAATGTTTTGATAATCTACGATTATATAAAACTCACAATGCGCCTACCATTATTGAGGCCATCCAACAAATTCATCATTCCAAAATTCTCCACCGAATATACATCCGATTCATTCGATTTTCCGAAATCCTTTTGGTTTTCCGATTGAATTTGAGTTACAACTGTGCAAAGCGCCAGTGCCGGAGTCTGAGCACGTGTCTTTATGTACGCTAGATTATATTAAATAAACATAATATGCGTATGTAACAATAAATGAAGATATTCACTACTTGTCAATAATTAATTTCAATAAAAATATCTCTATAGAATGCTCTATCTTAAATAATGATTAAGTCAGATTTATTAAATTATTGAGCATAGAAATGGTGAGTTATGTATCATGCTATTTTACTTACCTACAGGAATCGCAAGTGGAACAATACACGACCAAGATCCTTTCCATTCAAACACAACCATTTTGCGATCCTTTAAATTGGGATTATATATATATGTACATATGACAGTTCCATCTAATGGTTTTACTGGCCTTTTGTCCATAGGTGGTGGTAATGGCGTGCCAGGCGCCGAGGGTGAGGTGGACGTAGAATTTCCATGTGATCTTCCCGGAGGCAAACGATACACTGCAGGAGGAGCAGGTGAAGGTGCTGATAGCGTACTAGAATCGATTATTGATGCCTCAACAAGTATTTCGAATTGTTGAAAAAAAGACGTTGCAGTTTCTTTATCGGTGATACCAGAATCCTCGGGAAGACCAATGTGAAGATAAAAGTATAAGAGTTCATCTGTAAAATTTAT